TATATATATATATATATATATATAATTAAAGGTGTTTTAAACCCTTCCCACGCTCTTGCAATATTCTAAACAACGTTTTAAAACTAAACGCTCTTAAAGAGACAGAATGTCATATGATTTCAACTCTGCCTCCTGCTGCACTCTCGGCCACGCCCACTCCTCCGCTCTGCACGGAGCTCAGCTGATCAGCTGCAGGAAGAAGCTTCTCCAACAGTTGTGGGCTGCACGTGCAGCAGGTGCTAAATAATTTAAAATACTTTATTTTAAATAAAAAGTCCATGCCGATCGTGTGGCTCATCCATTAATCAGCCGACTGTGTGTCATGACCAATCTTATTTTGAAAAACCACGATAGAGCGAGTCCATGAAAAACGAACCGCCAAGTAGTGAGGGACTACTGTAGTGGTATTATGGCTCAAAGTTGTCATACCGTCAAAATGTGCTCGTTGCCCCACTGATTGTTGACGGGCAGAAGGTTGTAGAGGAAACATTTTGTGGGCAAAAAGACCGGATCAGAACTGTTGATTTACATGAGCAGCCTTATGTTTGAGTCCAGCTATGAAGCGCGGTACTGGAGGAGTTTTGGTGCTCGTGGACCAGAACACTTTCACAGCATCAACAAACAAACTTCCTTGTAGCAGATTCTAATATTTGTGAAACGAGGCTCAGATGAAAATGAGTCCTTCCACCACAGACAGGTTAGAGACAGACTGACGGACACACAAGACTCTTCAAAGGGTCTGTCTTTTCTTACTCCTCTGTGGGTGGAAGGCCTTCCTCCCTGAAATCATCTTCAGTTTTCATTTTCAGCACATCAGCTGATTTATCAAGCCTTATATTTAAGTTTGTTTTACGAGTAATCTGAAACTAAGCCTAGATAATATTAGGAAACATGAAACTGTGATGACTGTTGATATCACAACAGTTGTGATTAAACTCGTATGTCTGTGTCATCATCACAAACACAACGCACATCTTAACTCCTAAAACAGTTTACTGCAGTGAGGCACGATGATCCTGCAACGATGATAAATGTTAATATGTTGTGCAGCAGTAGCTGTCAACAAACTAATCTAAAGGGCTAATTAAATAAATAAAAATACTTTTAGTTGCTCAAGTGGACTGCAGACACTACAACATGCAGCATTAGCCAACGTTCAAGATGAACTGCACCGATTTGACACAATAAAGTCTGTTAAACAAAAGGACTAGAGGAGAGCTGTGCGTGAATTATTTTCAGTATATTTAACAGTTTTTTACATGAGGTGTGATAAACGACCTGACCACACCCACTGAGTACCGGCAGCTCTCCTGCTGTGTGGATATACGAGATGTTTCAAGATCTTTCAGAAAGGAGCAGCAACACGAGGTCACCTCCTCTTTATGCATGTGATTACTTAAACAGGCCAAAACAGCAGCGTCGTGTAGGTCACCAGACTGGTGCAGTTTATACATTACAGGGTTCAATTTAACAACAGTCACAGTTTTAAAGAAGATTTGAAAGTACGGAGTTAAAAAGTTTCAAGAACCTTGAGTAAAATTCAGAACAGAGATTTATTAAGAGACCGCCCCGTCACTTCGTCAGGATGAGACTCAAGTGACATTTTATAAACACTAGAGACAATTTGACTGTACTGATCTGGATTACATCTTGAGCTGTATTGTATTTAAATGAGCATTTAACTAGTTTAAAACAAACATTTAAAACAGTCACTTATAGTAATAATGTTCTATGTGTTGTCATCATTGTATGTTTCCATACAAAGATGAAATTGGCTCTTTGCGTTTAATCCATTGTCTCCATGATCCTAAACTCTGGAGAGCTCTTCCTAATACTATTTTAAAGCCATTAGATACCCCAACAATCACAGTGGATGTTAACCATTACCCAAAGAAGCTAGTCACAAAACCGTAAAAGCATGATTTATAAAGAGAGTGTAGAAAACAGCTAAAGCATCAATTCATTCAACAAAGTCTCCTGATTGATCAAAGCCAGCCCACAGAACCCAAAAGGACAGAGAGGACAGCGTACCCGACGAGGAGTCGGAGGATTTTAGAGCAAAAGACCAACCATCAGGGGTCATGGACGCACAGTGCGGTAAACGGAGCTCCACTGGCTTCAGGAACTTCAGTCCATGAGGGCCACACATCACCAGCGGACTTAGCAGAGTTTCTCCTGCACAGAAACACAAGGTTTCATTTCCATAAATAAGTGCAAAGGACGTTACCAGCACTAAGGATGATGTTTTAATTAATCTGAAGTTAAAAAAAAACAGAAGAAAAGCTGGTGCTGGGTCAACAAAATACACGAGTAGACATAAGGACATTTTCCAGGTTGTCCAGAGGAGAACCTCGACAGAATCTGGTTGTCTGAAAAAAATGTCTGTCCTCAACCTTTAAAATAATGAAGGCAAAACATGTCAATAAAATGTCTTTTAATAAGAATATATACAAAATCTGCTGTATACAAATGTTCTCAGTGACCTGTTCAGAGCTGCAGAGTGGCAGATTCATTCAGGAGCTGCTCAAGAGGAACTTCCTCGTCCTCCTCCTCTTCCTTGTCGTCAGACATTGTAAGAGAAGCAGCGTATTTAAGGGGCTGCAGTGAATTAATGTTCATGTGCAAACACGTTTCATAATTTATTACATCATCACCTTGAGTTAGGGAGGTGTCCTCCTTGGAAACCAGTCCAGGACACACTGAGTGGTGCTCTCACCTGCAGTCTGTCTCTGAGATGGTAACACTGAGCCACCCTCCAGGTATCAGACAGCATGCCCCGCCCTGCTCTGCTCTGATTGGTCAACCTGTGGCTCTGGCTCTCTTTATTTGTTGAAAGCAGCTTCAGTTTAATCTCTAGATGGGATGGTGTTAAAAGACCATAACAAAACAGGTTTTTCTTCTCCCTTTCATTTTAAAGGTGACAGAAATCTGTCCCTTGAATCCATGTCAGTTTCACCTGGTAGTCCCCCGGACAACCTCGAGGTGAGATCTGGATGTCTCGGACAAACAGAAACTGTTTACCAGTACGTCGACCCCTGAAATATATTATCTGTGTTTAACTGCCGCGTGTAAATTTGGTTTCAGTGCAGTTTTTTTCTAATCAGCTCAGGCGTCTTCCTCCTCTGCTGTAAGTCCTTCCCCGACGTAACGAGGAAAGAGAAGACTTCTGTGGGACTGACCTTTCTCCTTGTCGAGGGGGGGCAGGATGCTGTTGTCCCGGCACACCTTGAAGTAGATCTCCTGCTCCACGCTCTCGGGGATGGCACCCTGAGGAATGATGATGCTGACGCCCGTCTCGATGGAGCTCAGGACCCCTCCGTTACAGTTGAAGATGCCCCGGGCGGTGGCCACCACTGTGTGCCCTTCATCCTCGTCATCATCGTCCAGAGCACCGGGGCTGAGGGACGGAGGCAGACTCGTCAGCATCATCGGTCAAACAGGGAAAGGCAGAGGTAAAACCAACAGCAGAGGACACGAGAGCACCCCCGCCCCCCCTGGGAGCAGGAGTATGCTTCTGCCTCTCAGCAGCGCAGTAATGACCCTCTGCTGCTCCGTGCGTCTTACCTTACAGGGATGGCCTTGGGAATGGCGTTGATGTTATTGTGCTGGTATTTGGGCCTGTTGTCCATCGTGCGTGTGAAGGTGTCCAGACCGCTGTCGTGATCGAGGGGCTGGGGGGACAGCTGGGGCTTCCCGCTGCTGTTGCTCACCATGCTGGGCTTACTGAGGAGGTCTGTTTTCACCTGTGTGTCGTTGGGCAGCAGATTGTGGTTGAACTTTGGACTCTCAAACTTGCGCTCGAAGGGCCGGGCTGCGCTGGTGTAAGGCTTGGGGACGTAGCGGTTATAGCTGGTTGGAGGGGGAGCCCCCAGAGTTTTTGTGGGTGCTGTATCAGTACCGTTAACTGGGATTTTGTCAGGGAGGCCCCTTGGTGGCAGGTAACCACCTGGTGCCGGTTCATCCCTGCTGGTCGGCCTGAGTGCTGCCAGATCTGGTTTAGGATTGGGCGAGCTCAGTGGGTCAGGTATCGAGTTAGCTGAAAATAAACAAAAGAAAAAACACTGAATATCATTTAGCTGTGAGGCATACTGAATTTACAGTAGGCACTAAACAAATAACATGTTTTTGGCCATAAACCTCCTGATATCTATGAACAAACTGGTCCCAGATGTATTTACGACAAACCTCCAGCATCAACCTCTTTAACAAGAACCCTGGGGAGAGGTGGAGCAGGGGGAAGTCAAAGATGTCTGGACCAATCGATTGTCTTTATTCTTTCTTTGCAGTTAATGTTTAAATGGAAGCTGCCAACATTTTTAAAAGCCTCTTCCCCTTAATGATTAAAAATCTAGGGATCAGGATGTTTCATTCTGAACTACTTTCATATTTGTGGCAATAGGAAAGTATTTTATTGCTGCAGGCTTTATTTGTCTTATTTTCCAATAACATTGAAAAAGGATCCAACAATGTTCAGCCTGGTCATCTAGACGGTTTCTTTTTTAAGCTGAGATGTTTCATCCTTCACCCAAAGGACTTCTTCAATCTGAGGAGCCACGAAACAAAACTGATTCCCACAACATAGCATACTCCATAGTGGGAAAAAACAGTTTACTGGTAATAAGATGGCCTCCGGGGCCCACCCTCTCCCTTGTCAACTCCTCTGAGACGGTCGTGCCAAAGTGGTTCAAAACACCAAAGTTCATGCTCAGTAATCCAGGTAATAATCCAGCAATGTTCAGTCAGGTCATCTGGACGGTTTCTTTTTTCCTCAGATTGAAGAAGTCCTTTGGATGAAGGATGAAACGTCTCAGCTGAAAAAAGAAACCGTCCAGATGACGTGTGTGAGCATGGACTTTGGTGTTTTGAAAAGCGATATTTTTAAACGGTGAGGCTGCAACAGGCACAATTAAACCTGCCTTGTTTTTGTTTTGTTTTTTACTCAAAACAGATTTATTAAGTATGTGCGTAAAATAAAAGGTAGGAGGGGAGCTTCATAACAATACCAGAGTCAAATAAAGTCTGGAGTGCTTGTGGTTTGGTGATGAAGCTCAAATCAGCAAACCTGTTGAAGCTGCAGTCAGAGACTGAGTGTCCTGTGCAGCACGGTGGTCCTGTGGTTGTTTAACGGGCTTCATAAATAAAGATGGTATTTTAAAGGATGGTAAAATCAATTTATAAGTTTTGTATAGAGCTGTACAAAAGGAACCATGTACTAAACATTAGCAGAAGAGCATGTTTATACGCACTAATGTCGTAGAAATGAGCCTTATAGCTCGTCATATTTGTGTGTTTATAAAAGCTTGATGGGGATCAAAGACAAAATGACCAAACAAACATACAAACAAAAACATTATTCAAGAAAACAAACCCATTTCAAAGAATCTGTCACTTGTTATAAATAAATAGAAATATTAAAACTTCACAGATTTTAACAGGTTGTAAAAATTGTGGACAAGTGATGAAATTCAAAAAATTAGCCTTTAGCTTTACTCACATCAGCTGATTGAGTTCATGACAGCGAGTTATTTCTGCAGCTTACCATCACTGGGGCTGAGTTTGGGCAGCGTGTTGGGTGGAAGTGCAGGAAGTGGGGGTCCATACTGTGAGGACGGACTGATTTGAGGTAAAGGCTCGTATCTTTTCTCCACTGGGCTCACCTTCTCCACAGACTCCACTCTTTAACGAGGAAGGACAAGAGTTAATAAAACAGCTGTTGCGACTGCAGAGTTCAGGATCCGTGGAGGACAGCACTGATATACCTGTTAAAGGGGTAGGACAGCTGGGATGGTTTGGGGAGATCGTGGAAGCGGTTGATGCCAGGACCGGGTTGGCCCATGGCCTTGCTGTCAAAGCTGCGGCGATCAAAGTAGGACAACTGCTTCCTGTAGTACTCCTCATCCTCATCCGGGTCGTAATGGTTGGAACGTAGCACGTCATCCAGGGGCTTAATGTGGGGCTTTTGTGGCTCGGGAGCTCTAAAGAGAAGAAAAAAAAAAACACACACAAATTTTTTTAAAACAAATCAAACAGTTGCACACAATCAGAAATGATGAGTGAGCTGCAGCATGCAGGACAGAGATTTATTAAGAGGTCTCAAAGTCTGAATGTATGTTCAGTCTCAATGTTACTAAAGGAAAGCTCCAAGGACAGAAACGTGAATAAGACAGTGATTAAACGTGTTTGAGAACGTGAATATCAAACAGGATAAACAGCCTCTGCTCAGGGGCTGAACTCCACTAGGTGGCGCTAAAACAACTTTATTAAAACAACTGCGTTGTCCTTCACTCAGTGAGTTTGTCTCCAGGTGTTGTGTAGACTACGGTACATACCTATAGGTGGACCTCTCCTGCTCCAGGTTGCTGAGGGAGTTAGCTTTGAGGACGGGGGCAGGAGTGCTTGCAGGTTTGGGAACATCTGCAGGCTGGAAAACAAACAACGGTCTTTGTTTTAGTGTTTCCTGCACATGATTGATTTTATTTTTTACATCAGTCAAGATGACAAATCTTTACGTTACAAGTTGTTGTTTAACAAATTAGCTAAAATTATAGTTCCCTCCTGGGTAATAAAGTAATATAACCCCCCTGAAAGAAAACATTAGTAGAACATGATTAGTTTTAGTAAAACGTTTATTTCTCTAATCTCTACCACATTTCAAATGAATTTGAGTTTATCAGCATTTTTTATATCTAATGATTTAAAATGTGACTTGAGAGTCAATGATGACAACTTTAACAGAATTAATTTAATTTATCATCTAAATCAGTGACTCATGGAGGCAGAGGACAGCTTGATGAAGAACGTACCCGGAGGACCGATGACTCTCCCTCTTTGGCCCTGTCCACAGAAACAGATCGTTTGTTCTCAAACATCTTGACTCTGTTGAGCACCGATTGTGGTTTCATGGCTGGATCTTCGTCCAGGTCTTCTCGTGGTGGAGGAGGAAGGGGTTTGGAGCTTGGCGTGAGAGCAGGCTCACCCGGGGAGGCCAAAGCCTCTGGTTTAGGAGGGGGAACGATGGGTTCAGAGTTTATCATGGGCTCATGCATCCCTGGCTTATAACCCCGGTTTGGAGGCCCGGACAAGAAGGTAGGCCTCAAACCAGAGTCACCATAATAATGCGTTGGAGGCTCCGGTGAGCGAGGTGAATTGATGGGGAAGCTGTGGGATTCTGTCTCATAAGGAGAACGGGCGTCGTAGCCTGCTGGGGGTGGGGGAGGCGGCTCGTCATAACGAATTGGTCCAGGTTTATTGTGGCGTGGTCTGCCATCAAAGCCCGCTGGCGGGGCTTCCTCGTAGCGTGGCTGAGGGGGGCTGTAGTCTCTTCCTGGTCCATCCTCATAAGGGGAGCGAGGGTTGTAGCCCATGGGTTGCTGGTGGCTCGGTTGATACCCGACGGGCTGGGAGGACGAGGTCTGCTGGTCGTATGGGGGCCACTGTTCGTTGTAATGAGGCACACGGTTGTCGTAGTGCGGGTGAGAGTCAGTGTTGTGAGGCTTTGGTTCTGGGTAGCCGCCTCCATCGTACCCGTAAGGCGGGTGGTCGTACTCGTGGTATGGCTGTTTGTCCTGGTACGGAGGCTGGTGACTGTAGCTCATAGACTGCTTCAGACCGTGGTTGATTCGCACCGGGTCCTCCATATTGTACAGATCTTTCTTGTACATCTGTGAAGAAACAAAACAAGTTGAAAACATCGGTCAAATTATCATTAGTGAAACAATGTTAAAGTACAGAAATCAGCTGAGGAAAACGGGTTTCCTTGCATCAATTGAAGAATAAAATAATTATAAAGAAATAAATTGAAACCGCAAAAACCAAATTGTAATAAATAAATCCTACACCGGTTATTTACATTAAGATGAAGTCTTTACTCCAAAGCAGTTCTGAATGCCTGTTTGATAAGATGCCTTTCAAGAATGGTCAGCGTTTTTATAAACAAGTTAATTTTATTAAGTTAACATGTTTCACTGAGCACTTACAGGAAATTTGCACATTTCTGAAAGGCCTCAATTCAAACATGATGTGTAGCCTGTAGACAGCATAGTTACAGTACTTCCTGTGGAAGAACGCTGATTTGTTGGCGTTTACTCAGAACAAAACTTCTCAACAGGAAATAAAATGTCGTGCATCGACGAGTTGATTTCTCCATAGAAAGAATTGCTTAGTTGAGGGAACGACCAAGTGTACTGTCTGCAGGTTAGCTTTCATCATGCAACAAACATTCAGTTTGCAACTTATGCAACGTCAAACTACTGGCACCACTACAGACAAAACACATCTACCCACTATGATGCCACTGTCAGTGCTACTAGTGTTCAGCTGCAGAAGAGTCGAAGCTGAAAGGAACCCAAACAAAAAGTAGGAGCCATGCAAAGGAAGTAAGAGGCAACAGTTAGGGCTGGTTGTGGATGTCTTCACCCTGGTCAGAGACTCAGATGTACCAGTCCTTCTGGTCTCCAGCCCACTGTGGTGCATGTGGACTAGTGTGTCACACATTTTCTCTGGGATCCAGAGGCACACAGTGGGCTCAGTGAGTCACACAGTGTGGACATGACATGCAGAGAGCGAGTGGAAAGCATGTGTGAGAAGACAGGCAGTTAAAACAGCAGGCTGGGGGCCCAGGCCCGGTCCGAGTGGCTGGTGAAACAGTGGGTACCTTTGGTTCTGGACCAGGAGGTCCAGACGGGTGGGGTTCATGTGGTGGAGGTGGTGGTGGGGGCTGAATAAGCTCAGGGGCAGGGCTGGGGCTGTTAAGTGAGTCAGCCTGAGGAGCTGCGGGTGCAGCAGGCGGCCCCTGTAGGTGCACACCCTCATGCTGCAGAGGCTGCTCAACAGCAGAGGTAGCTACCACCGTCGGAGGCAGAGAGGGCATGGGCAGAGCAGCCTCACCTTGCTGTGAAGTATTGTTAAGAGACATTTTTAACACAGCCTGCCAAGGGCACACAAAGTACATCTTTACCCCAACACCCAGAATGTCTTTCTGTCTTTCTGCATGTTGTAGTTTGACTAAACAACATACTCACAGCTAACAACAAAACAAGATAAATATTAAAGGTCAGGGCACAACACAAAATATAAACAACAAAATCATCTGCTCAATAGTTGTGTACTTTTAGCTATACAGCAGTCCCTCGTTTATTGCGGGGGATCCGTACCATGAAGACCCGCAATAAGTGAAAAACCGCGAAGCAGGAATAGTAGTACAAGTAGCAGTTTATTTTATTATATATATATATATAGGCATTTTAAACTCTTCCCACACTCTTGCAATATTCTAAACAATGTTTCTAAACTCTAAACGCTCTGAAAGACACAGAATGTCATGATTTCAGCTCTCTGCCTCCTTTGCCACCTGCCAGCGCTCTTGGCCACGCCCACTTCTCTGCTCTGCACGGTGAACAGCTGATCAGCTGCAGGAGGAAGTTTATCCAGCATTGCTGGCTGCACAAATGTGCACAGGTGCTAAATAATTTAAAATAATTCAGTTTAAATAAAATTTCCGCGCCCATCGTGCGGCTCATCCATCAATCAGCCAGTTGTGTGTCATGTCCAATCTTATTTTGAAAAACCGTGATAGAGCTAATATGTAATAAACGAATCGCGAAGTAGCGAGGGACTACTATACATAAATATTAGACTAGCACAGCCTTTAATGGACTGCCAACAACACTACACAACAACTTTACCTGCTGTGGAGCGGCCATCTTGAACCCAGTGGAGTCTATTCGACTGGCTGGGTCGGGCTGCACAGGGTGCTGGTATCCAGGGTACCCAGGGGTGTCTTGTATCACAGGGGGGTCTTCTCGCACAGGCTCTGAAGAGCGGGTGATGGCGGGCTCAGTGGGTAGACCCACCTCATCATTCAAAGTCTCATCTAGCTCCTGGTCTGTGTATGCTCCTCCCTCAGTGTCTGTGTCCTCATAATCAGAAGTGTGGCGGCTGTCTGTGCTATACATGGAGTATTCACTACCTGGCGCCGAAAGGTAGGACAGACGGTCATCGTGGATATCCAAGTCATCCTCTGTAGTACCATCAGCCTGTGCAGAGCAGAGAAACTGTCACGGACATCTCACCAAGTTGCAATAAAAAGGACTTAACTATCGCTGGCCAGTTGTCTCACCTTGCCCTCTGACACCCACACCAACTGATTCTGCTGCTGCTGGATAGTTTCTTTTAGAGCTCCATACCATCCATCATTCATATTGTTCAAGTTAATGGTCGCTAAGAGAAAATAGATGCACAATAATCACCCCACTAGGAACAAAACTGCGTTAAATAAAAGCCAATTTACATTTTAAAGTCAGTATTTTAAGAAGCTCAGCCCACTTACTGGTGAACAGGTGGTGATTATTCTTCCTCAGTTTAATGGCTCGCTCATAAAGTTTCCTGGCACTTTTCCTGGACTCTGGACAAAGTCTTGTCCTCATGTTCTTCACACCCTGTTTATTATCAGGATTTAGGAAAACTACGATCGGGTACCACTGAGCATAGTTCAGTCTGTCCACAGCGTTTGGGGTGATGTCCAGCACAGCATGTTTGTCCTTTGTTGGATTAAAAACAAGAACAAGGACAGGTTGAGACAGCTTCTTTGACGAGAAACTTTAAAAACATCATCGACTCACTCTGTCGATGATTTGCTTGATGGTGTGAAGACGAATGATTCCTGAACTACGCTGGTCTGTTCCTGCGTCTCTGGGTTCACTCTCTGAAAAAACAAATGGGCAAATTTACAAAAAAGACAATAACTATAGAAAAAAAGTTTTGAATAGATTTATTATCAAACATACTTGCTAGCTCAAAGAGATCTGGTTCTTCTCTGGATAGTTTCTCTCGAGCAACATCAGCGATAGGTCCGAATATCACAACCGGTCTAAGAAAACCAGCTACACACACACACACACACACACACACACAAAGACAACAGAGCATTAGTAGATGCAAAAGCTTCACTGTCAGTGATATAAAACCTGACAAGTTTACATTCCTGACCTTCTCTCAGTACAACCCTCTCATAAGCTGGAAACTTTGTTTGGACTGGCTGAGAAGACAGGTCCTCTCTGCTCTTCCTCAGGTTCCTCTTTGAACTGCGAAGACCTCGAAACCTCCAGAAGTCGGCCCTGTCACCGCCGGCTGTTTTAGGGAGCGTGTACTGAACGCTGGACAGCTGCTCTGCTCTGTTAACAAACAACAAAAACACTTTAATGTAATACAGATCGTGGCTGCATCACTGAATGCAAACTGTTAACCAGACCAAACACTCGCAAGGCAACACAACAACAACATTACTATTAAGAATAACAATAACAGTCATAATAATAAATAATAATAACAATATTAACAACAACAACAACAACAACAACAACAACAACAACATTATTAATAATAATAATATTATTAATAATAAGTCAAATTTATTTATATAGCACATTTAAACAGTAACTGTTATCAAAGTGCTTTATAATATTAATATTAATAATAATAATACAACAAGTTGGATGCATCACCTGTTTTTGTTGGGGATGATGCCCCTCTCCACCTCCTGGTGGTTTTTGCCGATGCGAATAGCCAGCCAGGAACCCAACTTGCCGTTGTAGAGCGTGTCCACGACTCGGAAAACCTCACCCTTGTTAAAACTTAACCCATAAGGTGATTCCTTCTCATATTCAAAGTGCGTCCGAATATAAAAGGAGTCTCCTACATCCGACTCCACAATCCGCCGATACACTGGAAAAAAAAGTCAAATAAAATAATTACCACCAGACCAATCTAAACATAACTCCTTCGACTGTTTTCATTAACTACATTTACCATCTTTTTTCTTCTGAGCCAGAATGGTGACCTCTTCACCTTTAGGAAGATCCAGGAGGAATAGCACCGCCTCCTCTCGGATTATGTTAGCAAAATCTACATTATTTACCTGGAAGAAAAACACGATTCCAGTAAAGTTTTGCACACAAACATTACTTTTACTTTGGACTTTTCAACTTTCATTGTTCACTGAGTGCAAGAGCGACAGTGTAAATCTCTATTTGGACAGAGGTGTAAACAGCTTATCCTGTAGTTAGGAGAGGCTGGAAAACTGCAGGTCTTATTTTGCTGAAACAACTTAAAGCATCACTCGGTACATTTGGTGTGCAGAAAGAAGGTAAAAAGGAAGATATATGACTGAGGGAATAAGAGGAAACAGAGTTTATGTGTTTGCTCCCTCGGAGCCATTGCTAAGAGACTAACTTGATGATGCAGGAATTTCTAAGCAGTGTGAAGCTATGAATTATAAAAAAGAGTAAATGTTTAAAGAGGCATCTTCTATAAAACATATATATTTACAGAAACTATCAAATGCCAACTGTTAAAGCAAAAGAAAGTAGATAAAAAAAAAAAAAAAAAACCTTTTATCCTTTTTCCTATAACCTAAACGATTTTTTGACACTCCTAAAAAATTCAAAACACTTCATGTATCTAACAATGTCCTTCAAACTTTTTGTGTTTTTATCAGTTTTTGTTACAACTGGAGAATCTCACCCTGAGAATTTGGTCGCCCTCCTCCAGGCCCTCCTTAGCAGCTGGGCTTTCCTCCAGAACTCCTGCGACAAAGATGCCCACATCGTTGCCCCCAGCCAGGCGCAGACCCACACTCTCCCCTTTTTTAAATTTCACCAGTTTCATACTCGGCCTAAAAAAAACATTTAAATGAAACACCAAATGAACACATTATCAGGTGTTAAGCTCAGAGCACGTGTTGTGAAGGACTCAGCTACCGTCACGCCACATTTTATCTCAATATTTGTAAAATTGTAGCCAGTTTTGAGGTAGCTTTTGCCAATTTGCTGCGGCAACCATATTGATTTGAGTTGAATCTGAAAGTTAATTATTCTAGATGTTCATCCAGTGACTATTTTCAAAAGGTTCCCAAAAATCTATCCTGTGGTTCATAATATATTTTGCTAATGCTTACGTACAAACGTACATAAAATGATATAAAATGTGTTGTAAAAAGCTCTATAGTAAAATGCTTTTAAATAATAATATTATTATTATTAGCATCAGAATCAGAATAAGCTTTATTATCATTGCACCAAAGTACAGAGAGATTATATTCTGTACAGTCGTCCGAAAGGTGGGCGGAGTGCACATGGCTGCAGTTCCTATGAGTGCAGCACCTTGTTCTTTAGGAGAAAGACCACAAGGATAGGATAGTGGTATTGAAAAAAACATCTCTTCACACCTTGTCCTTGTTAGGACACAATTTAAGACATCAAAAAAATTACCAGCAAGCACATTTATAGACACATTACATATGCATTTGATGACAAGATGGTGAGATTTGTCCATGAAGCACTTCCAGATAGCACCATAGTCCAGTAAGATGTTGGTGTCAGCTGGTATAGCTCTAAGCGTTCACAGAAGTTCACGGGGATGCAGGGGGTGGATAGAGCAAAGCCTTCCTTAGTTTACACACACCCCAAGAGCAATTTGATAAGTTAGCCTATTCAAGGTCGAACAGGGAGGCCAGATTCAGATAAGCCACAGTTGTTTTTGTGCAGGCAAACTGTTTTTCTTTCGTCAGCCTTGAGTTCTGCTGATACTCTCCATGATCCAAAATGACCAGATTTGTGGGCTTTCTGCTGGTCCGTGCTTCTTAGCCTTCTCCAAGATCAACCCCAACATGCTGGCGAGTTCCAGAAGCCACAAGTGGCCTACGATTCTCATAAATCACTTCCATCTTACAGTTGAGCTCGTAAATAAGCTGAGTCTGAGAGCTCGAAGCACAAACTAATCCTTCACATAAGGTCGGCAGCTTTGCCGTGGCAGGAACTGCTGCAGACGTTTTGCTTAATAGCTGATAACATAGGTATCCGACGGTGCCAAAAAGCAGAAACCCTGCTATCATAAATCCAATGATGTATAAATCTTCAACATCCTCCTGAGACAACACGGAAAGGCACAACATTTTCCACTCTCCCCATGGATCCATGACGTATCCTGCCACGTGCGTCTCAGCGGGGCATGAGGGTTCTCCAGCACTTTCGCTTGGTTGAAAACATTTTATCAGGTGCGTTGAAAGTCCAGCTGACCAGATCCATGACAGTAATTTACGATTCGGAAGATGTGTAGATAGAAGCTCCGGCACACAGGACAGAGAGCAAAAAGCAGGAGGAGGGCAGGAGAGGGAAGAAAAGCATCCGTCTTGCTTGAGGGCAAGTGAGGGGAAAAATATATATATTTATTATTTATTTATTACCGTAGAATGCTGTCATCATGGGTGACGCTTGGCACAGGGGCATCAGAAGGACTGACTGGTAAGTCTACATCTGGCTGTCCAGGCTGAGCATACACCGGCTTGGGCTCTAAATAAAAAAAGACGTTATGATATTAACATACACATACGATGCAAGCACAAAAACACTACAATAACCCCCACAAATACATAACTGACACGATTTGAGATATAGATGTACAGCTGGGAATAAGTTTGCTTCAGAGAGGAAGAAAAAAAAAAGTACACCACCATGTTCAAAGCATCGCACAGCGCTCGTGCACACACAAACACTCAAAGCACTCTGTGTCCTTAGCTGGGAGGTCAAAGACAGCAGAGAGCTGCAGGCCCGCGAGGAACGTCACACTCAATCAACTCATACGGGTTATTTTCACTGTGCTGGAGGCAAACGCAGACAGACTCAGCAGGCATCTAGATTTAACTTTCTTTTTTGTATTTGTGCTTTCAAAAAGGAGGAATATATCTGGGTCAAACCAGAATTACTTTTACTGTCAAAAAGTGCACAAAATGCAATTTTTTTGTTACTCAGCACCACATTTGCTCACAAGTATGGATGATGGATGTAAGCCACCTTACTTCTCTTAAACACACACACGCACGCACGCACGCACACACGCACGCACACACACACACACATACTGAGTTCATTGGGGACTAGTTTTATCTCTAACCTGGGAGAGGTGGGAGCTGCTTCTCCTCTCTTGTCACAGATGACTCTTTCGGTTTTGGCAGAGGAACCTCCACCACGTGCTTTGATGGTGTTGAGGCAGGCTTTGAGGTCCGATCATCATCACGACTTCTGTGACTAAAGATAACGCATGTTTTAAACTATGCATTTCTAAACAAATGAGGATCATAAATAATGCATTCTGGACTGCACAGCTATGCAGCATACTGGACTGTGTGCGGGGTCAACATGTGCAGCTGACAGAGAACAGGTGAAAGAACAGCTAGTGTAGAAGGCAGCATCTTATTCATGAAGGTCATCGCTTTGCCTGTCCACTCTTTGGTCTTCTATTTTTAGATCAGCTTATCTGAAGGTGTCAGAGTGGATTCTGTTCTCCAGGTGAATTTCATTGTGTGACTCTGACTTTACAGCAGAATTACTGGACTTCAGACAGTTTTCAAGCACATTAAGACAACACAAAGTGATGCACAGTGACTCAGGCAAAACAGCAACAACAACAAAAAATCAAGATAATTAGAAGTAATGTAAATGTCACTGTTTTCAACCTGGCTGGATCGAGTCAGATACTTGAAATTTCCAGGTATATATACATCTGCATCAGGTTTGATTCCAATAAATGATAAACAGACTGTATTATATAACATGTAGTGAACCTGGTCTGACCCTTATCTGACCCTGATGACCTCAAATCTACCAGATGGACAGAGACTGTTATTTTCATTGATCTGAATAAGTCTGAGCCATCTGATGACTTTCCTTCTTGAATTAATCAAGCAGAAAAGACAATCCTCTATAATCATTACTGTCTTACAAATGTTTGATAATCAAATTGTGTTAGTTTCACTCAATGCTTACAGGTTGAAAAGAACTACTCATTCTTATTTTACATAAACAGTAAGTAATGATTTTTATTCCTCATTCAAAGAAGAAATCACCTGAATATGCATTTCTTGATTTTCTGTCTGAAATGAGCCAAGTCGTAAGTATGTGAAAGTTGAAGCTTCGGTCAACTAAATGTTTACTGAAAAAGGGATGTCATGTTTTACTATTTGGAAAGATACAACAGAGTGAGGCTCCAAAAAGTCTGCTTTTCTGCAATAATCTCTCTGTCAGTTGTTAAACAAATCTCATTCCCTGACCTCGACTTTTGATAATACCTTACGTCAAAAACCACACCTCTTTCTGGTACATCCACGAATCAGAAAGCTCTAAATTGAACCGGAAGTCGACCCATTTAAAATGTGGCAACTTTCCAGTTCAAGTTTGTTCTAAAGGAGTTCTCAAGGAGTTCTGAAGAGAATTGGTTAGAATTCATGGAGAATGGTGAAGTGAATGGAAGAGAATTCGAGAATTCAGGAGAGTCAGAGACGTTTGGAATTATAACTTCTGTTTGAACAACCCACGCACGACTATCTAAGGATTTCAGCAGCTCTCAACGGAGACGCTGAAAGGTCTGGAGGACTCTCTATCGAGCTGATCTATCATCAACAAGGTAACGGTCTCTTCTTCGACTAAAGTGTACCGGAAGCGAGCTGAGATCTGATGAAGCGTGCACGTTCTGGTCAACAGATATAAATTCTCTCACATAGTTCTCTGTAAGAAAATCTCCATTTCATCTTAAACTCTTCTCTCTCTCACAAAACCAGTACAGATATTTTAGAAATATCTGAAGCAAAGTCCTCGTTCACCGCCGAGTGATCGACGCTCATTTTCTGTGAAACTTGTCTGTTATTATTTTCATATTTTGCCAAATTAATGTAAATGTTTGATGTTAAACTTTGATTCTGAAAATAAATGACTCCATTCATTTTGATGGGTCAAAGGTAAATAACGTCTCTCGTTACATTTCTGTTGAACTCAATACACGACATTACACAGTCAGAAAGATGAGGAACTCGTGAAAAGTATGCATAAATATATACCACATATATTTGTCATACAACTAGTGGCACGTACCAACGTGACTCACTACAAACACCTTTCTATATTATCAAGATACTCAAAGTGCTTTACACTACAGTCTGTGTCCTCATTTACCCATTCATACAGCACTCTACTAGATCTATACAAAGAATAATCAGAGCTTTATCACATTCATACACCGATGGGACACACACTGGAGGCAATGAGGAGTTCAGTGTCTTGCCCAGGGACACTTCAGCATGTGACTGCTGGTGGAGTCAAACCCCCAACTCTTGCACTGGAGGAGGACTGCTCCAACCACTCAGCCACAGCCGCCCCAATAGGACTGTCTTTGTCTCCTCCAGCTGACACAAACATGTTCAGCCCCACCTCCCTCACAAGGAGCCAAACCTTCTTTTAAAAAATAGGAAAATATACCAGTAAATCTGCCATGGCTTTCAGATGTCTTGTCAAAATATTTATGAAGAAATATGAATCAACTTTTCTCAACTTTTATCATTCAGTTATCAGTCAGAACAAAAAGTGTCTGCAAGACTTTCTCCAAAACAAACAAACAAAAAAAAAAAAAATTAATTTCTTATGTCTTAATTTTTAATCCCCCGTTTTTAAAACTGATTTCTACAGAAAACATTTCACCGCGTGCCATCAAACAGATTAAAATAACAACATTAAAACCTAAAAGCAACAGCTAATTATAGTTAAAACACAAAGAGACAATACGAATATTTGTAGAAATTGTTCAAAGACTGAGTTTGAGATTGTCTTGTAAATATCCTGTTTTAATGAAAGCTGATGTCTGTTAAATACATGTATTTATTATTTACTGATCTTTATTTAACCAGGTGACTAACTAAGTTAGTTAACTAAGAACTAAGTTGTTCTAATGAATCCTTGGCTTCAGGAGAACAAATTTATTTTCATATTAATCCTGGAGGGGACCCCAATTAAATAAAAACTTAAACTAAGCTAAAAAAAAAACGGTCAGAGGTCAAATCTGTCCCAATAACTTCCTCCTGTGGTTTGAAACAGTTAATTAAACCTCCAATGTTCCTCTACCAGACATCTAGATGTTTTTACAAAGCTAAACTACATCTCTAGGAGGAAGGAGTTCATGCTAGCTGGTGATGATCTAGTGTTACTTAGATGTTGGGTCATGCTGCTCTTGTGCCAAACAAGCAGTTTTACCCAAGAGGACACTCAGAGGACAGAGATCCAGTAACACAGGACTTCATCATCTGAAGAGGAAACTCCACTGACAACCTGATGTCAAATCACCTCAGCAGCGTTCATCAAGTTAGGACTTAGTGTTGAACCACAACACCAATCATGATGACGTTAATTCATCACTTCTCTGTGAGAGTGACAGCTGTGAGTTCACACGAGTTCGTCAAAGTCAGAACCCTCTCCAGAACTGCACTAAATCTATTTCACAAGATTTATTTGCCGCACCACAACTAGGTTTTCATCCAGAGAAAGTGCCCTTGGGATCAAGTGTGAAAAGGAAATAAAAGACAAATCCCATTGTTCTGACCGACTTTTCATTTCTTAAAAGTAAACAATTGGTATTTCTTACATTGACAAAGCAGCAAAAATAAGAAAAAGTTAAATTATTTATACAAAAAGCTAGATCATGATCCAGAACACCCTTCTCACCTAGGGCTGAACGATACGGACCAAAATTAATACCTCAATATTTTTAAGATAAATCGCGATATACGATTTATATCTCGATATTCAAACATCTGCCAAGTTCACGGCACAAACCAATGCAGACATGTTCCTGTTTTTAGTATTTACATCACTTTATAATGTAGTTGTTTTTGTTTAGTGTTTTAATATCATTTTCTTCCGTTTATTTTTTCAATTCATATGCTTTCTTTTATGATCGTCTACTGTTGTCATCATTATTTGTTAATACAATACAATACAACTTTATTTATAAAGCACTTTAAAAACAGGTCTCTCTTGTAAATGAGTCCCAAGACTCAATGAGACTAACCTGTATAAATAAAGGTTGAATTCATTATTTTTTTCTTTCCATAAAGTAATAACAAATATACATTTCTGAGTCAAAGCTTTGTCCCAATTGTCACACAGGCACATTTATTAAGAAAACAGCTGTAACTCTACTAAATGTCTAAAAAATAAACTATTTACCGTACATATATTAAATAATAATCCTCTTCAGGTGCGCCGCTTCACGACGTTAGTAAGCGTGTGTGAAACAACACGTGAAGCATCGCTAAGACATGGTTCTTAGCAGCTAACAAGACGGGAGAAAAAGAAGTACGCGGATTTTCAAGTCTAATAGTACTGGCGATGGTAACGATAGAGCCACTTTAACTATTGTAAATAGAAAATCTCACGATACATCGAGCATATTCGATACATCCCCCGGCCCTATTCTCACCCACTTTCTTTTCTGTATTTCTATGTCAACAGTCAATGCCAAAAAACATGAAGGAATGATCGTTACCTGCCGTTGCTGATTTGTTGGGGCGAATGTCTGGAGTGGTCTGAGGGTTCAGATCGTCTGTCTGGAGATCGAGAGCGACTGCTACGATGTCTGTCATGCGATCGATTGGAATGGTCGGATGCCAGAGAATGGATATCTGAAATGTCTGATCAAACCAAAGTCCCCGTTGAACACGTTCACACCAACATGTCGGACTTTTATTCTGCCCACACTGCACTCCAGTGCCACTCACCATCTCTGTCAGAGGCGTTGGCTGAAGGAATGCTGTCATCGAGGTCAGGGACGTTCAGTAGAGTTGCCCTCTCGTCTCTCTGAACAACCATTTTTAGTTTGCCCTTGGACCTTTCTATCAGTTTCTTGGCGTCTATCAAGGAGAGGTTCTCTGTTACTGTGCCATTAATCTGGAGGATTTGGAAAAAATAATAATGTTAGAATTAAAATGTCAAACAAAAACATAAAATTGTGTCAACCTTTTACATAAAGAGTCTATGTTTGGGCTACAGATGTATTGTTTTAGGGTCATGAGATCCAATGTAACTAAGAGGAAACATTAACTGTGTGTCAGAGGATTTGAAGAGAGTTTAATGTTAAATAAAGATTTAACAACAGCTCTGTGTGGCCTGCATCAAAAGGAGCATCAATATTCTTTCTTGTGTAATTATTGTCTTCTGCTATCAACAGACATCATGAGCTCACACTTCAGAGTACATTTACAATCAATACATTAAGTGGCATTAAGTTGACAAAGTGTGAGTTTATGCCACATCATGCAGATTTTATAAGCTGTTCTGCAACATAGTGGTGCATCCTGCTGTCATTTTTTTTCTTTCAGCCGTCCTACCTTCAGTACAACATCCCCTTCCTGGATGTTGCCATCTCTGGCTGCCAGGCTCTCTGGAGAGATGTCCTTGACAAAGATGTGGCTGGCCAGGCGCAGGCCATATTCTGCTTACAAAGTGAACGACAGCAACAAAAACAATGTTAGCACAGAGTTCACGTGACCACATCCCACTGACCGCACTCTGCTGACAGCTGCTGCTCCTGCGGGGATTAACATACTGATTAAAAAAAGATTAATTGCTCTTTTTACTTATTTACTTGAGTTTACTCAGACTTTACTGAAGCTGGCGAGTTTACATTTACTCTGGCAATTAACCAGTGTTGATTTGGAAATTTGATGTAGTTCTGATAAAAATAAAAGCTGCAGCAGTAAGAATAAACTGACAGAGCTACCGTAACTAGTTGAAAAGACAAAAATTAAGCCGATGCGCTCTTCTATCCCCGACTTTGTGAGCCTCACCTTCATTTTTGCGAGATTTGACTAGTGTGACCTTGGCAGGGCGTGGGGGAAGATTGTGCGAGCGGCGGTCTGAGCGCGGGGAGAGGCTTCTCTCTCGTGAGCCGCTCCGCTCACGTTCCTTGTCCCGTCGCCCGCCGCTCCGCCCACTGCGCCTGCCCATAGCCCCACCCACCCCGCTGTAAGCACCGCTGCGGCCGCTCCGCGTCTCGTATATCTCTTCGTCGTAGCTGTCCTCCTCCTCGTCATGCTCTGACATGGTTTCCCTCTCCCCCAGCCGGCCCATGGGGACATGCACCTTCCTCTTCCGTCTGATTGTCTGACCAGAGGACAAGAGATTTGAAATCAGCCTGACAACCAGTCACTTCACATGAATCAATCCCTCCTTCACATTCATGAGAGCTTCTGGTAGTTATCAAACATACAAGCAACATCTAAGCTTCATGTATGTTAATACATTTTGTAGCCCCTGACGTGTTGAGAACACTCACAATTTTGGCAATTTTCCCACTTTTGCGAAGCTGCTGGACAGCGTATGCATGCTCCACATTGTCCATAGAGACAGCATTGACCATTACCACTCTGTCATTTTCCCTGGAGAGAACACACACAGCCATACTGAAGTCTTTCTGGAGAGACCAGAGTAATTCTAAACTAAAACTAGAGATCTGATCGTGCTGCCAAAAAGACAGTCTTACTGCAGTAGGCCTTCTGCCGGGCCTCCTTTCAGCACATCCGAGATGACAATGGAGGTCTCGCCACTCTGAAAATGAGGGTTATCCCGACCTCCTGATATTGCTATCCCGAAGCCAAACCCTGGTGCCTGCACAGGAAAACACAGATTAGGATGTTGATTTAGGCGCCTGAGAGCAAGGTGGCACACATATTTTACCTGTTTGTACAAATGTTTACAACCACAGTTTCAAATATTCATTATTAGAAATGTGAAGTAGTTTTACACAATAAAAACCTGATCTTGACAAAATGACAAACTTAGCCTCATCCGCTAGTGGCTTAGAGTCTGTGTCTTTGGTGCATTTTGTTTGCATTAATTAGTGATGCACGATATTATCGGCATGGTATCAGACGATATTTGCGTTAAATTTCAATATCGGACATCGGCCATTCCATTAAAATAACTCGCTGATATAAAAGGTGCTGTTTTTGCCTCTAGCTGCAGCACAACGTGATGACGTCACGTGCGCCTACCTGAACTCACGGAGGAGAGGAAAATTCAAAATGTCGGCGGTGTGGAAGTTTTATTTTTTGCTGGTGAGGATGTCGGATTCTGAAGATTTATGGACCATGTTGAGCCTCGCTACATCGTCCCCAGTCAGAGATATTTTTCCGACGTAACGTTACCCGAGTTACAAGTCGTCATTTCCAACATCATTGAGAAGCTAATAGCCGAAAGCACGACTTGTTGGGTGAGTTCTACCACAGACATTTGGACGTCGTGTTAGCCCCGTTAGCATGATTAGTCATACAGCACAATGGATAGACAAAAACTTTGAACTTAAAAAGTCTGTCCTTCATGCACAGGAGTGCAGAGGATCCCACACTGCAGCTAGGAACCTGGAACAAGCCTCCACAAGTGAGACAGCATCGCTGGTGACTAATGCTAATAAATAACATTTAACAGTTTTCATTTAATATAAGTTAAAGTGCTATGCATATCATATGACTGTTACTGAATATATGTCACCAGCTCTTACAGCTGTTGCACTATTTTGTAGCAAATAAGCCTAAATAAGAGGGATATGTTCTGACAAAGGAATGTATATAAAATATCAGTATCAATATCGGTTATCGGCCAAATAAGTTTTAACATATCGGATATCGGCCAAAAATCCAATATCGTGCATCTCTA